AATTTGCAAAATTATTGCATGTGAATGTGTAGTCCAGTCCCAGAACCATTTGAACCCGCTCTGGTAAGCTGTTGGTCATGGAAAAAAGGGGCCAGAAGAACTTGCATGTAAATACATATACTCTGGATGGCACTACCTATACTATTCATATATTGTTTTAATTCAAAATACAAATTAATATCACAATATTGTTTCTGTGTGTTGAGGCCRCAACCAACAGCTCAGTTGGGTAATACATAAAAGGGGCTGGGAATGGACTTTAATGAATCTWATAATTGCTAAAAATGCAATAGACCCTTTAAGCGACCACTTTTACGCTGTGTTAGCCTTAAAACCATGTAATAAATTCTTTTGTTTGCTAAAAGCCTGTGCAAATGCAAGAGATTCATGAGTATAGAAGACAATGGAAATAATTTGAAATTTCTTGATTTTTGTTTAAATTCCTGAATATTTTGCAAAACTCATCTTTTTCATTCATATTCACACAAGTATATTGAAATAGGACTCAATAATTTGTTTTTATCTTTATTACAAATCATGATAAGTATAGTTTACAATAAGGTACATGTAACTGCTGAGTTAAGTTGCTATTAAGCATGCGCAATTTACTGCAACACAGAACATTTTGAATAATTATGCATCCCACATGGAAAGCAAGCATACTGTTGCATAAGCGAGTTTTGTTATCTGTCTTCTACTGGTTCAAAACCTAGTGAAGGTCTATGATGCGATCCTAAAACTGAGACCTTTCCTAGTGTTGGGTTGTCTCAATAGTGACAACCGTGTTGTAAATCTGATACAACACTAGTGTTGTATCACAGTGTTGTATCAGATTTGCAAGGTCAATTAACTGATTAAATGGAGAGCCCTTATTGGAGTAATAGCTCATGCATTATTAATATGTTTTTTAAGTTTGAATGAAAGGTCTTATTTTATCCATCGCTTATGCCAACTGGTTCAACAAGATTGCAGAAAGAATATGAATTTAAAAAATGTTTGTTTCTTAATATTTTTTTAAATGGTTACATGTAATCTTTATGTAACATTTTGACACTGCTAGATTGAGTCACGTTTATGACATAATTTCGTCTTTTTRTTAAAGATATGGAATGATTTACTCTTCTGGTGATGTAGAAATGCAGCCCCTTGAAGATAATGATGATGAAGAAGATGACATGACGGTCTTTGACAGAAAGACAAGAAAATAGATGTCAATATGTTTTACCATGGTAATCAAATCAAAGCACCTGATTGGAGCATTATTTATTAACAGAGATTTTACAGGGAGGACACAGTGTGTCTTTTTAGCTGAATATAGAGTATGATT